ATTACATTTTTTATCACATCAATCACAGGATAGCTGTGTATTAATTCACAAACTGTATACAACATAGATTGTTTTTCATTAAGTTTGTGGATTTTAGTCAATATTATACATCCTGTTAGTATGCTGGTAGAACGTGTCGCAATCTGCTTTCTGGTGAAGTCTTGCTCAACAATATTAATCAGTTTACTGTCTTCCCCAAAGAATTTCACATGTCCGATCAGAAATGTTTTGGTTTTTATCTTGATATTTATCAACCCTGTCGTGGTATTTCAAGGACTTCCCTTATGAAAGCCTCCTCACAGTCGTCCCCCACTGCACTCTAATCTTAAACTGGATGTTTTTCTTGTCAACAAGTGACCAGAGTACAGTGAACAAAGGCAGAAGTATTTTATTTACGTCATCATTTCCCAGGACCTTGGAACACACAGATGTTTGGTCATTTAAACAGAAAGAGTTACATAGATAATAGTTCACTGCGTGTGTGTTTTGAGTACATGTACTACAATGATACTACTGTGTGCCTGTGTGGATGTTGTCATCACTGTAAATGTGCTGAACAAGAACTCCTCAGAGTTTTGCTTTTAGAACATGTTTTTTGACTTAATATTTAAATGTGTACCAGGATGAAAAAAAAAAGATGTTTTACGTTGTAGTTACGCAGCACAAACAAAGACTTGACTACAGCTACAACTATGTGCAAATGAACAGACATGCTTTTTGAGTGCATAGGGAACTCTGTAGAGACACAATGGTGTGAACAGAACACAGAGACTGGGCTTCTGGCTGCTTTCTGTTCTCTCGGCCACACGCTGGCTGCACAGCGAGAGCAAGCCCTGAAAATCCACAGCGACACGGATTCAGAGTTCTAATAAAAGGGAATTTGTGAAAGTTATTTGAAAAAACAGACAAGAAAAATGGAGGGAACTGACAAGAGAAGCAGACGAGGAGGTCGGTAAAAGCAGAAGGAAATCATGGTGTATCTGAGAAGACAGCCAGTGGCATCAGTCAGGCCTTTGGGGGGAAAAAATGAGTTACTTAAAGAAAAAGTTTACTTTCATCACGGTGGTGGACCTGAGAGGGAACCAACAGAAACAACAAAGCAGATGTCAGGCTTCATCTCAGGGATTTAAGGCAGACTCTGAACATATGTGGAGCCTCCATTGGAACAGTGTTTCCCAGTGTCTTCAGTTCTCTCAGCAGAGCACGGGCAGGAAACCACTGCTGATGTCAAATACATTAAATGGACACTGTCAGACCTGTGGCTGAGTCGATTTACTGCAAACTGTGGCATCAAAATGACCGCAAACCCACAGTTTAACTTCACATTATGTCAAAATAGTCTGGGCCACAGTGTCTGTGTGTGTGTGTGTGTGTGTGTGTGTGTGTGTGGCTACAGCTCAGTTATTGCAGCTGATTTGCCTGTGGTTTCCTCCAGTCGGGGTTTTGTTACCACAGCACTTCACTTGCTCTGCTTTATGCGCTCTCTCCACCAGATCCATTGACAAAAATAAATGAAAAATGAAAGTGAGTGGTGAAAAGAGAGGCTTTCCTGCTCTTAGCGGCGGTTGTGTGCTTGCTGAGTTGATTGACCAGAGCTTTGGTGTTGAACAGGTCACTGCAACTTGTTTGTCTGAACAAAAGTGTGACTCTAAGTCAAGAACCAAATCTCTGAGATAAATAACTGAATAAGTTCAACCACACATTCATTACTGCAAGTTTAAAAATATCCTTAATGTCGTAATAAGATTGTTGCTTCAGGAGTGGGATGAGTTTCAAAACGATTTTTGCTCAATTTTACATCAGAAAACTTGCAACATTTATTTAATTTCTTATCGTTAAACGTCTTCACTCCCAACAGGAGGTTCAGAGATAGATCATGAAATAATACAATCTAATGAAACACCTTCGAAAAATAAAGTTGTAAAATGATTTTTTTTTTACATTTATATTTATGCATTTAGCAGACACTTTTATCCAGGGCGACTTACAGAGGAGGATTAACATTATCAAGCTGGGAATCAAACCCAGGACCAGACGTGGGTAGAGAAGCCAAAAATTGTACTCGAGTAAAAGTACTGTTACTTCAGAATAATATTACTCAAGTAGAAGTAAAAAGTAGTCCTCCAAAAATTTACTTGAGTAAGAGTAAAAAAGTACTTGGTGAAAAAACTACTCAAGTACTGAGTAAATGTTGAGTAAAATCTGATTCATTTTTTAATGAGCATTTAATCAGAAAAACTAAATTACAGAGGAGAGTTTATTCTATCAATAAAATAACAAATTAATTAAATAAGTTACCTACCGCAACATATTTCCTCAGGTTAGACGTTAAGTTTTTTTGTTTAGTTTGTTTTTAGAGACACAAAAGACACCTCATGATGTAACTGTGCTCCGCACTGTTTGTAAACTAATCATGCTTTCAGTATGAGTCCAGGGGTGGGCCTCCGGTCTTCTTCTGCATTGCCAACCATAAGTAGTCCAGAAACATAAAGAATCAAACAAGTTGGACGCTCGATATTTGAACATGGTTGTTTATCTCCATGTGGTGATGAAGGAAGTGCTGGAAGGGTAATGAATAAATGAAAGTGTG